TTATCTACTTACTTTGTACACACACTACACATGTAATACACACACACCTGAGACAGAAAGAAATGTCAGAAAAAACTTTTGATTTTGTAAAACACAATTGTTAAGATTTTCCTGCGTGCGGACGTGTCCGAACAACCCCCGATTTTTTTGAATAAACCTCCTCAAATTTACATTTTAACGAAAAGTTCCCCGTGTCTTTCTTATGCAAAGCGGAAAACGTAAGTGACAAGAGTGATAAGCTACAGTAAAAATTCCATAGACCATAGTGATCCACTGTTCAATGCCAAACAATTGGCAGCACTGCTGCTTATTCCTTGAAATTGTTGTTGCATTTGCCTGTTTGTTTACATTTTCTGCTAAACAGCTGATTGTTTTAGGTGGGATTTGGTGGGATTGATTAAACAACCTACCAATCAATGTTGATTGTTTGGTATAAACACAGGGTTGCATATCTCATATTTTTTTTTTTTTAAGGACCACATTTATTTATTTATTTATGTCTAACAACTAACTATAGTTAAAACAGACATTAAGCAGAATATTAAATATAACTATCTGTCATTATGCTAAATTGTCTACTTAAAAATTTAATTTACAAGAATTACTTACATATGAAAGAATTCAAAAACCCAGTCTAGAATTTCAAACAGATTAGAAATTACAAAATGTACATGATCTTAATGACTGGACATAAGAAATCTTTCCAATTCTAATGTGGTTGCTCTAGTATTGGTAAAGTCTATGTCTAAAAAATTTGAAAAGTGATTGAAGTCTGATAAGGTTCTGTTTATTGGCGCGTTTGCACCATAAACCGTTCTACTTAGCCCAACCTTAAACACGTCAAAACGACGCAATTTACGGCTAGGAACATAAAAATGGATTCTCTCAAGTAGGGCCGGGCACTCAACTTTTCCCGAAATAATACCCAATAAAAATGCGATAGCCTGAGAAGTTCTTCTATTATGCAAAGTTGGAAGGCTAATTAGCCGACAACGGGATACATATGATGGCAATGGTTTCGCAAACCTTAGTGAACGCAAAGCAAAGCGTAAAAATACTTTTTGCACCTTTTCTAAACGATTTATATGAACAGAATGATTCGGTCTCCAGATAAACGCAGCATATTCCAGGTTTGAACGCACAAACGCTGTATAGAGCATTTTAATAGTATAAGGATCGGTGAACTCTGAAGAGTGACGTCTAACAAATGCAAGCATGGCAAATGAGTCAGCAATAGTTTTATTTAAGTGCGAAGTGAACGTGAGTTTTGAGTCGAAATGTACTCCAAGGTCCTTAATCTCACTTAACGAGTCAAGACAAACATTTTCAATGGAATAAGACGTTGATAAAGGTACTTTCGACTTAGTAAATGTCACTTTATTGCATTTCCTTGTGTTATACGGCAGACAAACGGGCTCGATTATTTGCATTACCAGCCTTAATTTGCTTTAACTCATGCAATTTCCTCTTTAAAATGAGCATAAGCAGCCGAACAAATGCACGAAATTTTTGGGAATTAACTCGGATCCGGGGAATTTTCTATGACAACACTGGTAAAAACGGCCAGTTGTTGTCTTTTGTACAAGTAAGCAAACGAAGCAGTCGAGTTTCGCGTACGCGGTAGCCGAGTGGTGAGAGTTGCGAGCTACAAGCCTGTAGCTGCCAGGTTCGATACTCGGTTGGAGCGATTGCGAAAATTTTTTTTTTTTTTATTTATTTTATATTTTTTGATTTCATTTTATTTATATATTTAATTTTACTTTATTTTCATTTGCTTTATTTTATATCACATTTCTTATTTTACTATAAGTTAATTTTAATTTTTAGAGATGAATTTTGTTTAAAATTCAACAACAACTAACTGAAAGTAACGTAAAAAAAATATAGAACTTAAAAAAAAATAATGAAAAGGAAATAAAAAAGCATACTGGCCGTGGGAATCGAACCCACAACCTTGCGGCTGGTTTATTCGCATTACTGCCGTCTGTAATATTACATTTACATTGAGCCCAAATGCGTCATTTGGGCGAGAAACCTCAAATGCGAGGCCAAATCACGCATTTCTCCATACAAATTCACATTTCCAGAATGACGCATTTCGACGCATTTACACAAAATCACGAAACAAATGCGTTCCAATTGCCGTACTATTTTATTGAACGCACTCAGAAACAAAAGTTCCACAAAAGCTTTGGTTTGTCTTTGACATTTGGAATTTTTCAAACACAAAACAAACACAACGAAATAAATAAATCTTTGAAATTTGTGTGTAAAAATTGTTAATTTATACAAGAGCTTTACACATTTTTAGTTTAATCAAAGAATAATTGCCTTTTTGTGTCCAAAAAGCGTTAACAATATAATAAATGTAGTGTTTGTTTACATACATTTTGTTTTTGTCTTCCCTTTTCATTTGATGAGAAGTCAAAGCAAATGCGGATCAAGCAGTGTAAACACCTTCAAATGACTGATTTCAAATCACGCATTTTGGTCCAATGTAAATGTAATATAAGGGTAAAATTTTAATTTGCATTTATGCTTATTAATTCAAATTAATTTTCTCCGTCTGTCTACCATATTAAGGAAAAGCCGATTTTCAACACACCATGTATAAAGCCTGTCAAGCTGCGATTGAAGTTCAGCCGAGTCATTTATGCATCTAATTTCAGAATATATTTTCTAGTCATCTGCAAACAGAAGAAAACTAGCATTTGAAAAACAGGAACTGATGTCATTAATAAATAGTACGAAAAATAGTGGGCCCAGGATGCTACCCTGTGGGACACCTGAGAGAGCAGAAAATGGCTTAGACGAAACGCCATCGATAACCACCGTGCTAGATCTCATGCGTAGGTAGGACCTGATCCACTTTAGGAAGCCCGAATGGATACCCATAGATTCTAACTTAGTTAATAAAATATTGTGGGATATCTTGTCGAATGCTTTAGAAAAGTCTGTGTATATCACACCAAGTTTAAAGCCATTACGATAAGTTGAGAAACAATCCTCCGTGAAAACTGCAAGGTTAGTCACCGTAGATCTTCCCGATACAAAGCCGTGTTGATTAGGACAGATCAAATGTTTGACTTTAAAAAAAAGTTTAGTTTTAATGATATTTTCGAATATCTTAGCAACTGTGGACAATTTACTAATTGGTCTATAATTTTCAACGTCGAACTTGTTTCCAGTCTTAAAAATAGGTGTGATTGATGTTCGCTTCCAGTCATCAATAAACAGACCTTCAGAAAGAGATTTGTTGAATATTAGTAATAATGGCTTCACTAGAGAAACATAGTTTTTGAATAAGATAGCTGAAAAACGATCAACGTCCATGTGAGACGAGCTTTTTATATTTTTGATACCCTCAATAATATCATCTTCTGTTAAGTAAGTGAACCCACATCAAGAGTAGAAGACGTGCTCTTAGGGAAGTTTTTACGGATCTTTGATAGGTCATCCACAGACAGGTCATTATCAGATACGAAATTTGCAGCCTCAGACACAGAAGTAGCATTATCTTTTTTGTAAAAAACGGTTTTGGGTATACTCGAGCCTGTTTTCCTGGAACTGATATAGGACCAAAAATGCTTCGGACTTACTTTGATATCCGACTCGAAATCACGGATATAATTTTTGTAACGCTTCTTATTTAACATTAAGAACTCTGATTTATAGTAACGATATTTTCTGAAAAAACATTGCTTTTTGGTTGATTTGAATTTTTTATAAAACTTATTTTTAAAATTTTTTAGACGCTTTAAATCCTTTGAGGACCAAGGAAGTTTATACATTCTTGGTTTAAAAATTGGCACATATTTAGAACATTGATCAGATAAGTGGGTTTTGAATAAATTAAAACAACCTTCAACTTTGATATCCTTAAACAAGTTATCCCAGTGTAATTCACCCAACGCAGTATCCAATGTGGCAAAGTCACAGCGATTATAATTAAATGAAACAGCCCTGTATACTAGGGAATCTTCGAAAAATTCAAAAAATTCAATGTCTAAAACCAATGGTAAATGATATGAATTGGGTGGGGATATCGAAGAAGAAGGTTTCGAAATTACAAAGTTTATGTTGTACGTTACAAAGACTAAGTCTAGATGGCGATTCATATTGTTGCCGTGGCCATTTATTTGAGTAAGGCCAATACTTAAAAAGTTATCAATAACATATGACTCAACAGAACTTTGTACATTTGAGGGAGTCAAGAATAAATTATTATCGAAAAATGACCAGCTTACATTGCTTAAGTTGAAATCTCCAAGCACACAAAGTTGGTTGTCCCCAATATTACGATGAATAGCTAACACATTGTCAACATGCGACATGTATAAGTTAGCACAGCTAAGTGGAGGTATATAAGAGGCGCAAATATACAGCAATCCAAGGGAACCACTGACACGAACACAAAGTTGATCGATGATAGTGTCTTCATTTTGAAGAGGTAGAAACGAAGCTTGGAGATTAGTACGGGCCACAATTAAAACTCCCCCACCTCGGCTACATCCGGTTTTAATGGGATCTCTGTCTTTACGAAAGACATCGTACTGATTCGGGTCGAAAAACTCCGCATCGAAAAAATTTGCATTGAGCCAAGTCTCAACGATAACAAAAATATCATACTCCAAGTGCGCACTTAGCATTCGAACAGTATCGGCCTTAGTCCGGAGTCCAGAGGCGTTTTCAAAATAGAGTTTAATGTGCTTGTTCGGCCTGGGAGAAGCAACTATGCCGGGGGCAGTTGCCCTCCCTGTTTTTGAAAAAAACGGAACTGTCGAATATTAACATTTGTTGGCCAGATTTCTGGCTTCAGCAAATTAAAATATACATGTTCAGGAACTCCCAATTTGAAGTTGATATATTTAAGGGCTGTCTCATTTGTATCCTTCTTTACCAGTTTATAGCAGGCAATTTGTTGCTTATCAACGATGACTTGATTCGACACGTAATTAATAATATCGACTTCCGAAACCGTTGGCTTGAACGATGATAAATGGAGCCACTTAAAACGCGAAAATACTCCCAGATCATTATTTTCATTACGGCCAACCACGACATTTCTCCGCTTGGGCACTTTCTTTCGCGGCACAGTAATCCAATTAGCCCCGAGTTGCGGCTGGGTAGAAGCATTTAATATATCTGACGAAGCAGTTGGCAGTTGTTTAGATGCAGATGGCAAAGCATTGTGAGTAGCATTTACAACAGCAGTGGAAGGTGAAGATGTTTTAGTAACCGTAGCCAATGCAGTTGATAACGCAGTCGGCATTTGTTTAGAAGCTGATGACACAGCGACAGAAGTGACATTATTCACGTCAGCAGGAGAAGATGAAGAAGCATTGTTTGCTGTTATCATATTAGCTGATAATGCAGTTCGCATTTGTTGAGAAACCGACGGCAAAGCATCCGAAGTATCATTATTATCCGCCTCAGCTGGAGTAAGTGAGGGTGCATTGTTAACAATCGCAGAACTCTCAAAAGCCGAAGGTTCAGCCAATGACAGAACCGACGATTTAGCAACCATGTCAGTTTGAGAGTGTGAAACATTTTCCATAGCCGAGGTTGGTGGCATCGCTCTCCGTAGGTCAGGAAAACGGTTTAACTTTTTCTTGTTGTTGTTCATCTTAGCAGTTGATTTAGAATTAGCAACAACATCCTTTAGGGAACCGAATTCTGTACATAAAGTTTTTAAACATGATGAAACATTTTTGTTGTGTTCACAGTTTTTTAGATTTATTATTTATTTCTTTTTGAATTTCACCAAATTGGCCCATTATTGTGGTTACAATAGAGTCTAAGCCATTTTTATGCGTAGCCATGAAAGACTCCAAAGACCTTGTTAATTTTGCAGGCAATAACAAACACTCAGGGCAAAGATAGCAGATATGCTTATTCTGGTTAAATAGCCTGTCATCATATTCTGATATTTGGCCCACACAGCAAGTACGGTGAAATTGTTTTTGACAAAAACCACTGCACGGCACAATTAAAGTATCATTTCGCGCAAATGATTTGCCACACTTTCCGCAAGAGTCCATATTAAAAACCACTAACAAACCAAAAAGCAAGTAGTAAGTAAGTTGCCGGAAGATTTACAATTATTACGTGCTACTCCCATAAGAAACAGGGTAAACATACCGCCAATTTGACCAAGTTGCGGAGACATATATGTGTGTATAATAAGATGGACAATCCATGGTGCCGCAGCTTAATTTGCGTTAAACACACATATATAAATCTGTGCTAATATACAGATTTTTTATAATTCTGATGAGGGTGCAATATTAGCACCGAAAGCTAAAGAAATAAATTGACATAATACTTATCAATTGGCTCGTAGATATCGTCTTTGGTTTCATCTTCAAGTCAAAAAGCAAGAGCCGAAGCAAAACACGTCCGCACTCTAGCGCGGTTGGTAATGCAAATAATAGCAAAATTGGCCATTTAAGTGCAGACTAAATGTATGATCTGAAAATGAATAGTGAAAATTAATCAACAATCTCTACTTAATTAGGCCATCTGAAATCTGGCCTAACAGTTGCTAAATTTGAAAACTATTACACATTCTTTCAGGCTTTCAATACATACTCCGGCAAATGGTTTTATGAGAAGCGACTTCATGGCAGTAGTAAACTCGGAGGTTTGAAAATACGACCGCAGACTGGGAATTGCGTAGAGCAACATTTGCTGGAACTTTATGTGGGATCTGGATGACAGTCTCCCTAAAATAAATTTGAAAAATTTATTGAAATAGTAACTCTTCTGACTATGAATTTTTGAGGAAAATTATCCGTTTTGACTAGTTATATTCAATAATTTTATTGAGCTCGAGGCCGTTCTGAAATGAAAAGCTATTGTGGAAATAATAATTTTTATTTTTTGAAAAAATGGCCTCGAGCTCAATAAAACTGTTGAATATAATTGTTATAAGGCCATAAAATAACAAAAAATACATTTTGACTATTTAGATAAAAATATTTAGCAAAACGAAGAAAAGGTTAACATTTTAACACGCAGGAAAAACTTAGGCAATTTTGCTTAAATGTAAGCAAAACGGCAACGCTGCTCGTGAGTTGCGCAAGCTCAGAGCAAACTAACGAGAAAGCGAGGGGCTAAAATGAGGCAAATCCGACCCATGGTTACAATAGAAAGCGAGGACAATAGTGAGGATACAGGTTTGCTTGGTGAACTTCTAAACCAAATAAGTCAACTACATCCAACAATGCATGCATTTTAGAAGGATATTCAGCTATTGAATCATTCAATGAATGCACAGACACAAAAGAAAATTTAGCTGCCTTTCAGTATAATACATAAAGTGCAAGTTTTAACACCGTCGACAAAAAAAAATTCTAATAAATCAACGGTAATTTCTATCTACTTGAAACTTCCACCTTATCACTGAAATTGAACGGGCTACAAAACTGCATTTTTTTAATCTGATTAAAAACTTTGAAATTTGATGAACATTTTTTAAAGCTTGATTAATTTTATGAATTTTATACAAAGTTTGCAAAAATGATTTATGCGGTTTTTGTTATAGAATGAGTTATATTTTAAATGAAAATTATAGAGAAAGATTTTTGGAAAACTTTTTGAATATTGTGAAAAGACTAAATTACAAATCCTTTTGAGAGTGACTGTATGTAATTTGTATGGTACGATTAATTCATGAATACTCGCTTGTAAAATCTTATGAACATAGCTGTAAATGAATATCCATACACATAATATGAAGCAAATATCAAGATAATTTAGATACTTAATGCCAAAACTGTGCCATTGTCAATCACTATTTTCTGTTCTTTTAAACGAAACCGGAAGAGTATTTTTTAATTTAGTTTGTATGTATACTAGGGTGTTCCAAAAATGCATGTGAAAAAGTAAAATCGGAATTTTTATGTTCTCACCCCCTAAGATTGTTCTAAACCGAAAAAAGTAAACCCATATTTTTTATTTTGAAATCAAAAAATATTTAGAGGTCGCTCAAAGCGCCCAAAGTTTTCCATGTATTTCACCGTGCGACAAAAACCAAAAATTTTTAAAACACACGAAAAAATGAATTCACAAAACTAGGAGCCAAATATAGTAAAACTGCGTATTTAATTTTTCTCTCTGACGTCAGGATTTTTTTTAAAGGACATTGATATTTCCAGGATATGACTGAATAAAAAAATTATTTAAAAGATTTGGTGAATTGTAGAGTAACAATATGGGTATCAGTTAAAAGAAAAAATTCTGTAGAATTAAAAACAAAATTAATTTTTTGTTTCACCAGGACGAATAAATGTCGAATATGTCCTTTTAAAACTTTATCCTTGAATATCCTTGGAAATTTCCAATATTTATTTTTGAAAAAAATATATGTGAATGACTAACACGTAAACTACCACATTCTCGAATTTCGTCCTTCTAACTTAATTAGTTTTAGATAAAAAAATTTTAAACTTCTCTTTATAAGATATTGATAGTTACAATATACGTAAATGAAGATACTAGAATCATTACACTGTACAGCACTCCGCTGCGTATTGGACCAAACCAATTTTTTTTAAGAGATTGAGTCATAGGTAAAAAAATAACTTCTCCATTTTTCGAAGTTAGCCGCCAAAATCGATATATAGGCCTTCGAATTTCGAAATATGTTCTTTGGTAAAAAATTATTTTTTATTATTATATGTAAATAACTAAAAATACAGTCGTAGACCGCCTTTTGCTCTTATTTAAATTTTTATAACTTTTTCTTTGCAAACTTATATTACAGTTGCTATAAGGGGGCGAAAGTCGGGTCTTCGAAAAATTAAAAACCTTATATTTCAAAAAATTGTTAACTGATTTTTAAAAAGCTGGTACTGTTGTAAACGTGATTGGACCCCCTTCTTCTCTTCTGATATGCATATTTCTATACTTTGAATGTAAAAGTTTGAGAAAAAACATTTCAAAGGAAAAAATATCTTAAAAAAATATATATATTTTAAACAAATAAATTACTAACCGATTTTTTAAAAATTGATATTGTTGTTAACGCGATCAAATCTTCTTTATTCTGATATGCGTATTTGTATACTTCGTATATAAAAATTTGAGAAAAAACACTTCAACGGAAAAAATACCTTTTTTTATAAAAAACAAAAAATTAACAATGAAATTACTAACCGATTTTTAGGAATTTGGTATCGTTGTAAAGGCGATTGAACCGCCTTCTTCCGGTGTGCATATTTGTATACTTCGTGCAAAAAATGCCTTTGTTTTATAAAGAAAAATATTTTAAACAAAAAAATTACTGACCGATTTTTAAACAATTGCTATCGTTGTGAAGGCTACAAGAGAACTTATACTTTCTTAAACCCGAAAATTTCGTTGTATATGTATACAAAAAAAAAATATAATTAACAAGTAAGAAAGTCTAAGTTCGGGCGGAGCCGAACATTAAATACCCGGCGCGAGTATTAAATATATGTTTTTCACCTTTCCGAAAGCTACCGCTACATGGTAAACCGGGGTGTATCCATTTTGAGTAAATTAGCGTCCTAAAATTTCGAAATATTGAAGTTTCAAGCATTTCTGAAATTTACTGTTATATGAAAAGCGGCCGTAATTTTAGTTCGATTTCAATAAGCACACCTAAAAGTTAAACATTCTAATAATAGAAATATTAACAAAAACCAAAAAAAAAAACCAACAAACACATGATCAACTGAATTGCAGCGGAATAGCTGCGCTTGATTGTAGTTGGCT